TTATTTCTCTTTAAAAGTATCCTTGCTTCCCCTGTTGAGCACACTTAGTGTCACCAACTCTTTTCCTCCATCTGTTGCATTCCCTCAGAGTTAGTTCTTGGTAGGTCCTAAGATCTCTTTGCTGATTCATGTTCTTTCATTTAACCTTCCTGCCAGCTTGCTTTTTCTTTGTTGTATGTCTTTGCCTCCTGTTAGACCACAAATTACCTCCATGCCTGTTTTAATGCTAGTGTTTCCCAGGCAGCAATACAACCCTTTTCCCATGTAAGCTTCTCTTAGGAAACTTGTCTGAGTATTGGATGATCTCAGCTGCTGGTTCTGTTACATTTGGGGCCTATGAAAAATGTTTTGAATTGCAAATTGAATTGGACTGCTGTAGTTGGGATGGTCTAAGAAATGTATGAGGCAAGGATTATTTTTTGTGATACCTTTTATTGGATCACTTGTTGAGACAAACATTGAATGTCCTTCACAGAGCTGAAAGCTCTCCCAACTATACAGCTGGTCCAATAAAAATGAATCTCAAAAAATCCCTCTCATTGAATGACAAACCCATTTAGTCTGCTGCTAATCCTGAATTTTTAAAGTATAGTGGCTGTTTTGGGAGAGGAAATACTATCTGTAGTCAGTAGTCAATTTCCCCTTCATTACAATAGAAAATGTCCAATGTTTTCTTTCCAAGCAGGCAGGTTCTCCTCAGTCCCCTTCTTTCTCTTTGTTCAGGACCAGCTGACCTTCCATTACAATATTCCAGATGATCTGAACAGTCTAAATGAAATGAGGAGTCCAAGTCTGTGCTGGCAGCAGTGTATGCTCTCTTGGTCTTCATTTAACAGCATATCTTTTATGTATGATTTGCTTAACTTATTCTATATGACATAGCTTCATATTGGCATAGCATCCTCAAAGCCGAATTAACTCCGCTACAATTGTACAGTGAAAACTAGATATAGTAAGATTTTTTTTTTTCTTTCCATATGTCTCTTACCTAAATTAAACTGACTTCAAAATATGTCACTAACCATTTTAAAGATAAATGTGGAGGTTGATTTGATGGCATCTACTTTCAAATTTGGGTTTTGAGAAACCCTAACTGTTCTTAGTGAGGTCGCCGATAGTTGCTTTTTCCTGAGCGGAGCACCTGTGTAATGTTGAAACAATTACATAAACTATAATTTATCCAATCCAGCCAAAAATGACCCAGAAAAATAATACATAAGACTTTAGTGATACTGTTGTCTTTTTTTCACAACACCTATTTAAGCAATGACTTTAAAATTTAATTAACCACACTTTGCATTGATGTCATGTGAAAGGCAGCACAGCAGTTCATGTTTAAAGGTATTTTGCTGTGGTGTCTTCAAAAACAAAAACAACTATGGTGTATATTGCAATAGTTATGAATTTAAATGTTTTTTTAAAGATAGACTGTATTTGTATTTTGAGTATTTTTTCATGTGTATTACAGAAATATTTACTATATTTTTCTTGCTTTGTCTTATTTTAGCTAGAAAGCACAACTTCAGTTCTGGGGAGCTTTAATCTTTAACATTATTTCATTTTGTTAGGTTTGTATCACAAACTTCAGCTTAAATCAGAAACCTTAACTATATGTTTGAACAAACTAACTACAACACAAAATGTTAACTGCATATATTTATGCTATCTTAACGCTTACTCCAGCTTTCTAGAGAAGTCATGAACTGAATGTGGGTTTGCAGGAAACTAACTGATAAAAGTACATCTTCAGAGGTGCTGTTAATAAACATGGGACTGCCTACATTAAAGAAACTGCAGGATATGGGCCTTAAAAATGTAATTGTGCATAGTTTTAAGGAATGACTACTGAAACCAAGACTTTTGTCATATAACTGTGTAAAGGATTTAATTGCCCAGATTGAGAGTAGGACAGTAAAATAGGGTTATGGCTAGAGTTTAAGATTTGTTTTAGCTGTGTAAGAGGAAGCTGAGGGATAGCCCCTGCTCATCACATTATGCCCTTGTGAGTTCAGGTGCACACCCAAGACGGTTCTTTTAAGGATGTAAATTATGTGTGCAGATGGAACATGCATGCAGAATGGTCTTTCACAAAAACCATCCTGGGAAGGGGGTGGGAGGGAGAAGATAGGAATCGGTTCCTGAGAGTAATTCTTCCTTCTGACTTGCTGTCCTTTCATACTTGCATTTTTTTCTGCATGTTATATAAAATCCAATGAAAATAACTAATTTTTACTAAACCATACACCTAAAAAACCTCAGTGTGCACACCAACTGTGTCACATTTAGCCCTACTAAAGCTATTCCCTAACTAGGTTCACAATGTGCATGCTATCATTACATTTAACCATTGAATTTGCAACTAAGATCCTAATCTTGCAAATAGCATCATTCAACTTCATTTGTAATACAGGTGACTTCATAGGAAGTTAAGGGTTCACAGAATATGGTCCCAAGCCATGCACTAATGTAGACTTTTATTTTTTGTCCTTTGCCCCCTTTTTCTTCCTTTAACAGTTAGTCTCATTAACTTTTGCATTTTCATGACTTTGTGCCTTATTTTTCACATCTACTTAGAGCTGACAGGAGCTTGAGGACTGAAATTAAAAACAGACCTTAGGTTTATCCCTGGTTTCAAACCAGGCACAAGACTTGCATATTCTGAGTGGCAATTAACTGGAAGTAGCCCTAATTGTTGGGGTAGAGGTGCATGTTCTCTCTACACTTGAGTACTTCAAGTGGGACAATGGGCTTGTCCTACCTGAAGAATCCCAGAAGTATTTTGCCCCATGTTTTCAGCCTGACTCCTGCTTCTTAATTGAACTGGTTGGGATCAGAGCACTTACTGGTCAGCAGCTTTCCCTGGCTTCCTCATGAACTGCTAATGGCTTGGGAATGAAGGGAAGAGCCTTTCTATGGATGTGAAACTAGAGCTAGAGCCCACAAGGAATCTAGATACACAGCTGCCAGGCCCCTGCTAAGGACTTTCCTGCTGTTACCCCAGGCAGTAGAAGGGGAAGGGCCTATTTTTAAACTTTTAGGGAGTTGTTCTATTGAATGCTTAAGTGATTCTTAAAACCATTCTCTTCCCACCAACTACAATAAATGTTGGTTAATTCACCACTCACGAGGGGAATGCAAATAACCGTTGAGTGATCTGGCAGTGACCAATTATCAGGTGTTTCTAATGCCAGATGATTGTAGAGAAAGCATCTTTGCATTTTAAAAGTATGATGAATAAAATATAGGTGTACTTATTAGGCTGCTATAAGCAAGAGAGAATATTCCTCCAATTTAGGTAAGGTTTAACCTATGATCTTGGTTGTACAAGCCTTTGTCCTAAGCCACAAGCCTTTAAGCCACCCTGAGCATGGATAGTGTGTGGAAGTTACTGGTGTCATCTCTTTGTTCATAGGGGAACAGTTTTTCTTTATCCAACTGCATTTTTTTAAACTCTTAAAAGTCATTTCTCTTGGCTCTTCATTTCCTGTGGTAAGCTAATTCCAGCTGTTTTCCTGTCCCTTCATTAGGGGAGGATGGGATAACAAGAAACACCATGCACTGCTCACACTGCCTGTAACATGGAAGGATGAGGGGGGACAGAAGCCGATTGCTGGGGTGCATAGGCTCAGCAGAGCCACGAACGATGCCAGTGCTCTGACTCGCTTCAAGGCAGGGTAAAACATTCTCTACTGCTGAGACAGCATGAACGCTATAAATACTCACCATCTCGCCTCCCCGCTTAAGGGGCAAGTGCACGTTCAGATTTCTTGATGCTACATAGCTGACATTTCATGCGTTCATGACTGGGATTGGTGAACCTTTACAAGTGTAAGAAATATATTTTTTTTCTGAATGAATGGGTGCAGTGGTCTGGGAGTGGCTCTTTGGTGAGGAAATCAGCTTCTCAGATTAGGTGTTGTTAATCGTTTGTGGAGGTTTACGGGTAACCAAACCTAGTTCTTGACCCAGCAAGCCTACAATTAGGTAGTTGGGCTAGTGCACAGGTCTACCTGATGCATAAGGGAAACATGGGCTTAATGCCTGTTGTTAGCAGAGCTGTTACGTATGCCTCAGCTGAATTTGGGGGAACATAAAACAGGGCTGCGGGTGACAAGCAGAGATTTAAGGCGGAGTGGGGCACGGCAGAGCACGCCAGACAGCACCCGCTGGCCCTGCAGTCTGATGTACAGGCCGCCGGTACACGTGGGGAACACCCGGAGCAATGGCTTCCTCTCCCTGGTGCGAGAGGCGCGACGGGGACAGCTACAGCCAAGGGGCAGGGAGCGCGGTCACGGGTTTAAGACGAGTGGCTGGAGGGGGCCAGGTAGCGGCGCGGAGGAACAGGCGGGACGCTACGCTGCCCCCGA